CCTTTGGTAACAGTTTTGGTAACTTTTCACTGTTGATTAACATGGTCTATAACGTTGCATTAAATTCTTTGACTAGAAACTGCAATTATGAAACACATGAAAAACATCCTGGGATAAATGTTTTTCACAACTGAAACAAACTGATGGAACTGACTGAGAATTAGATGTTGTATATCAAGTGAGAGGTATTTTCTAATAGTTCACAGACAGCATAATTATATCTCTCACCTCTGAAGATTACAAAGCCATTACACTGGCCAGATGCCCGAGGGACGGTGTTAAGCTGCTCTATGAAAATACAATCGGGATCAGGATGTTTAATTAGTAATGACCCGTGTGAGAGAAAGCACATTTACAGCCATAGATCATAAAGCAGGACCAATCACTGTTTCAGAGCCGCTGTTACGGGATGAGCAGTGAGGCAGGGAGGCTGGTGTAGGATACAGGAGGAGGAAAACAGGAAGGACTGTGGAGACGTGGATCATGTTACAGCCATTACTGCCTCCCAGAATACAGATGCACAAAGTTGGAAAAGTAATTCACGGCACCGTCACACTCCTGACTCGTAAATTTAGAAAGCACTCAACAGACACAAGTTATTTGTGTTTAAAAACTGGGATAATTAACACTGTGTGTGTGTGTGTCTGTGTGTGTGTGTGTGTGTGTTGCTTCTAAATTATTAAACACCTGCACATTTGAAATATAGTGCGGTGCAGAGACTAACTGGAAACCATTACCAGAACACTCAGCAGAAGAGATGAAGCCCAGTGCTGTGTGTGATATAACGTCATCACGTGGTTTGTCTGAAAGGAAGAAATAGAAGCTTCTGAGCTGCAGCCATTCCCGCTCCTTCTCTCTGCTTTGATCACTGCTGCTCTCGCTCCTTCTCGCTGCATCCGTCATTCCCCTCCATCCCTGCACAGAGCTGTTGCCATAGCGATGGGTTGCCAGGTTTCAGCCTGTGAGGCTGAATGGGTTAATGAGAAGGCGGAGCATTTGCTGCACTCCAGATGGTAGTAAGCCCTCCTTCACCGCAGGTCTCCAGGGACCTCCCATGAAAGAGAAAGCCGCTCCTCTTTTTAGTATTCACCCCCATCGCTGCTGCATTTCTGACCCCATGACAATGTCGGATTATGCAAAGTGTGAAAGAAAAGCTGGGCTCTCATCTTTGGCTCTTCTCCGCTGAGAAAGGCTCATATGAGATGTTTTCATTAACCACTGATCTGGGTAAAGGAGAAACTGACAGCACAGACTGTAAATTGTTTGTTTTTTCTGAATGCACAGCCTCACATCGTCCTCTGTAAACGCTCGTGTTTTCTCTGAGTGCAGGAAGCCATCTTGGACTGTTTTTTTTAATGAAGAACTGTGTTAGCAGCACCCCCAAGTGTCTGAGTTCATACAGGACTTGTTTATTGTCTCACCACTTAGAGCACAAATTATGTGTCAGTAAACACAACAGATAACAGAGAGCAAAAAATAGCAGCTAACACGATTTAAAGAGGCAGCTATGAACACGTTTGACTATATAATAGGATACAGAGACCAACACCTGCATAGTTATTTGGTATCTGATTCTCTGCAGTCATTAAATATGTCATGCATGAAATATTGATAGTTTCCCTGTATACAACCACTCTATCGTTTGAATATCTTAATTATACAAAGGTGCAGGTGGAATTTAAATTCAAACTGTACATAATAGTTTCATGTACACGATGAAGGGTGAATGGTGCAACAGTGACACATGGTGGCAGGTGTAGTGTAAAAGCAGCGACTAATCTCTTCTAATTGTGTGTCTGCGGGTGCAGTGGCTGTCATTAGGTGTTCTAGGCAAGGTAGGTAAATTTCTCCTCTTTGGGTTTGACGTTAAAATTGTAGTGTCCGATGCGGTTTCTCTGGCAGTAGAAGAGGCAGGCGAGGGAGCAGATGAAGAAGAGCGACAAGCAAATTCCCAGAATGGAAAGTCCAACTACATTTAGAGTGCTCAGCTCCTTATCCAAGGGCTCTGCAGGAATATATGAACAGACAAGCAGTATATGATGACAGAAATACCAAAACTTTACTCACTGGCTCTTAAAACAAACGTTTCCAGCTCCCTTACATAAAAATAATGTTTAATGTTCCCCTCATGAGTGTGTCATGATAAAAGCAGCCAACCCTTTCCTAGTGATGGCTAGTTAAGAACATGGATAGATGGATAAATGTTTTCCATCAAGCTAGTTGAACTTTCCTCTCCACCGCACTGATAATAGCGACAGCTGCACTACTGCCTTAATTCAACAGCTATAGATGGCCCATTTAAATGCTGAGATGAAGTGAGAGCCAGATTTATAATGGCCACTGAAGATTTAAATAGCTTTTCTACTTTTAAAACGGTCCGTGTTGAGCGGAAGCTGAAGTGTCATTACACTTCCAACTGAAGCACAAAAGAAGCATCCAGGTGAAATCAGCGTTTTCAAAGCAGATACTGTGTAAAAATACACACCTTCATCTGAATGGATCAGAGGCCCAACTGAAGCCAACCTCGTTTCAAGTGCATTTACAGATCGAGCTGTTCTCTGGCGACAGTCCTGCAACAAAACATGAGCCGAGTTTATGTTGCATCAACTGCTTTTAGTCTAAGCAGGGTCAAAGCTGCATGGTTGCATGAAATGTGTTGTGCAGTAGAAAGCACTCACTGGCACGCAGCTATTCGATTCAGTCTGCAGGCAGATCTGAACCTCGCAGTGCACATAGATCACCTTCAGGTTGACAAAGGAGAAGATCTGCACGGACAGACGGGACGTGCTGGAGTTCCCGTTCATCATCACTTTGGTGAATGCATTCAGGGGACAGCTGTGGAGACACAGACAGTGGGGCTGACTGATGAACTTAACTGCACCTGATCAAAAACTATTATTAGAAAGCATCGTGCTAAATATATAGACAGCTGAATAATCTGCTGGTTCTCTTATTATGGCTTTGCAGAAGGCTTTAACACAGATTTAGCTACCGCACTGAGTCATTGTCACTTTTGATGGCACTTTTTTTTTTCTTACATCCTGCTCAAAGATGAATTTCATTTGAATGGAGGGACCTTTAGCTGTGAATCAGAAAATGCCTTCTCGTCAACACTGGTGCATGTGGGAGATTTTGGGGGGTTCAGTAGATGATATCGTGACCACCACATTTTCCATGTCCCTGCCATACATCAAGTACCAGGTGTTTGAAACTGATCACTAGAAAACAAATATTGTAAATATGAAGCTGGAGATTCTAAGTTTGCTCGTAGAAATGGGGAAAAAAGTGATGCGAACAGACACAGTAACAAAACTGGCCCCACTGGCAACTATGCAGCTCATTAATTCATATAATTTAGTTAATTTGTTTCACAAATGCCTCCGCTGACATGTGTTTTGCAGTGAGACAATGGGAGTCAGATTTTCTTGTATCTGAATGGGGCTAGGCTAGCTAGCTTTACCCTTATATGTGCATCAGATTTACGTGGTAACTTACAACATAACCGCAACTTCATCTTAACTGTATGCCTATTTAACCTGACGTGCACCTCCCATAGAACGTAACTACACAATGGCTCAATGCATACTTGAATGTTGTGTTGCAGGGATAAAAGAAGTTTCCATAGACTTCCAGCAGAAGTCTAAATCAAGCTTTATGCTAAGCTAAGCTAAGCTAAGCTCCTGCTGACTGTAGCTTTAGACAGAAACTAACAAAATGAGCGACACAATAAGAAACCTTGTCTTGTTCTGTCTTACAAATTTCATTTTAACGTTTGACTTTGTAATGATAACAGAATGGAAGGGGCTGGTTTCAGGAAGAAGTGTTTTTTATGTGTCACCCCACAGAAGCTGGTCACGTTTGCATCTTGTTTTAAAAAGTGTGAAGCCCCAAGTTAATCATATGCTGACTAATGAAGCTACCTTTCTATCATTTCTATCATCCAGAACAAGTTTTCCTATCAACTTAAAACCACAGATGTTTATTTGTTGAGACAGAAACTGTCAGGAACTTAATTTGTAGAGTTTTGACTTTTTAAATGACACATTTTTATATAACGTGTGTTACCAATGCATACGTTGGCCAAGTCAACCCCATCTGAGATCTTAACTCCAGATTACAGTTGTCTGAGTTAACAATAATCATAGTGGTAACAGTATGAGTAAGCTAAATAAAGCTGTAGCTGGGAAACAGACCTTTTCTCCAGGAAGACACGGCTGTAGGCGTCTATGGGGTTTGGGGTGGGAGTGCACCAGCACTTGCTGATGACTACTTTAATGTGATCTGAAGAGGTGTTGAGTCTGACCTCCACTACCACGGGCTGCTCACGGGACAGGCTGTAGTTGTAAGGCAGAGGCACTGCACCGTCCAACAGATGCACGCTCACCTGGAATGACCCCGATCCTGTGATTTTAATTAAGTCATACCTGGATATGGATGGGAATGAATTGTAGGTATAATGAATACAATATAAACTATACAAAATATTAAAAATGAAATATTTATCAGTTTATGCTACTAATGCACAATATAACTGCATTCAGTGAAAATGGAACATGAGAGTTTAAGTGAAGTAAATAAGCTAAACACCAATCAGAGTT